AAAAAAAAAAAAAAACGAAACGTTGCACAGGGCCTGTCCCATCCAACCGAAGCGCGGGACTTCTTTTCCCTGGTCCCGTGGGAGCGTCTTCCGAGGACCGCTTTTGCCTTTAAGTATTAGTAGAAGGAAGATGGTAGAAGCAATTGGTTCACCTTCTCTATGCACACTCTAGAAGAAGCAGGATCAGATTACTGTTACATGCTGCGCCTGCAACAGGCTGCACGGGCCATTCCCAGGCCCATGACGTTTTCAGGCCAAAAGCCTGAAAACAAGGGCCTACAGGCCCTGTGTCGTTTCAGCCTGAAAGCCTGAAAACAAGGGCCTGCTGGCCCTGTGTCGTTTCAGGCTAAATCAAGGCCTTTCCGGCCCTGAGTGATTTCAGTCTGAAACTGAGGGCCATTTTCGGGCCCTCATCGGTTCGACCTGCCCTGAAACTCAGGCAACAAACCAGGGTTTTAGCACAGGCCATTTCGGGCCTGTTTTCAAGACAACCCCTGGTTGAGCTTCAACGCCAGGGTCTGGCACGTTTCGGCATTGGCAAGAGCAGCCTCCTGGGCGGGCCAGCACTATATAGGACTGGCCCGCCCTTCAGGCAGGCAGGGAGTTCCTAGGTACTTCCCAGGCACTTCACGTGCAGTTCAGGAGGCAGGAGGTAGTCTTCAGGATTCGGCAGCAGCACTCTGGAGGAGCGCTGCAGGAGTAGTAGCAGCGTTAGCAGTAGTCTTCAGCGCTGGGCGTTAGCAGCGTTAGCCGTAGTCTTCAGCGCTGGGCGCCATAGCAGCTAGAGTAGTACTAGAGAGAGAGAGATTGGGCGGAGGCCAGAGGGACTTACCTGCAGCTCCGTTGCTCCAGCTTCCTCTTCGAGGTACCTGCAGCACAGCGCCATCTTCACAGGTTAGTACCTGACATATGAGAGAGAGAGAGAGTTCTTCTTCTTCCTCTTCTCAGTCCACCATCTCTTTCTCACCCTCTCGCTATCTGACTTCACTGCATCAGCAGACTACGAGAGAGATAGAGAGAGAGAGCTTGGTGACATTTGGATGCAGGCTCAACATTGGACTTCAGACATTTTGGAGAGGGAGTATTTGGGACTTGTAACGAGACTTGGTGTTGACGACTTTCCCATCTCCCCCTTCCTCTTCTTCGTCTGATTCCCTCCTCTTCGTCTGTGTATGTCTGGACCTGGCGCCTCCTTCCTGTGTATAGCGCCAGGCCCCATCACACCTTGTGATGAGCATGATGTATGTTTGGTCTGCGTTTAAACATTGAGTAAATCTTCCACTGCGCTATAAAAACACCATTTTGTATGTATCTGAGTGCACATTGCTTGTTGAGACTCCACTTGCACTGCATTGTCCATTCAGTCCTTTTTATCACATTGCGGATCCTCGGTTTATATGTACATTGCCCAACTGGGCATGTAACATTACTGCAAGGTCAACAAAGACCCGGTAGCGCAGGTCACATTCAATGAGAACAACCTCAGAAAGGTCAGAGTAATAGAAAACGAGGATTTCACTATATTCCAACCCCAAACTAACTTAGAGGATTTAGAAGTTGACCCAGCAGAATGGGCATGGAACCTAAAGCGAAAATACACAAGAATCAATCGCAGAATCAACCTAATCAACTAGACTCGGCTACAAACTCAGACGTAGATCAACAGCCCCAGAAACAGTCATAGCGGAAGGTTGGAATAGGCACT